TAAGTTGTACCAGGAAAAGGAAAGGGATGAAAATGTTGTTCTTTATATTGTTAAATGGAAATCTCAACATATAAAAAGAAGTCAAAATTTCTGATTCGTCCACCAAAGAACACTTCAGAAACTTTTGACAGTTTTAATATCTTTGTCAGCTTAACAATTTAACACATTTTTCATTTTGATCAATTCAAAAACACTGCATAACCTTTGAATTTTTTTTTTTAAAAAGACATCTTTTTTTATTTTTATTTGCCAGTGGCCTAAAAGAGTGCATTAAGTTTTGACTGTTTATAGCTCTAGCAATTTTTTTTTTCGATGACCTTCCGTGCTCTAGCAGATGAGGCTCTGTGGCGCAAGGGATAGCGCATTGGACTTCTAGTGTATGGAAGGCATTCAAAGGTTGTGGGTTCGAGTCCCACCCGAGTCATGTTTTGCTAACAAAGCAGACAAACCTTTGTAAGAAATACTGCTTTAAGACTACAACATGAAAAACAATCTTAACAAATCTCTAACATAGGTGATTAACTATATGCATTCAGAAGGGATCTTAGAATAAGAAGTTAAGAAATTTGAATAAATATTACCAACAATTAAGTTTAAATTAATAATGCTGGAAACCTGAGCTTAATGTATCACAGTATACTTTGATTCTCTATTTATAGTAAAGGACTCAAAGAGCTGTTCCACTTAAACCATGGAAGTCAGTTCATATCGTTAGGTGCAAATCAGAAACATCTTGCCCAATTTCAAGAAACTTTTTATTAGTTAAGAAAAAAAAAGTACAAAGCTTTCTACCAAGGACCACTTAACATGTCTGTATGGCCTTCTTTTGTCACTATTGGCAGTAAGTTGTACCAGGAAAAGGAAAGGGATGAAAATGTTGTTCTTTATATTGTTAAATGGAAATCTCAACATATAAAAAGAAGTCAAAATTTCTGATTCGTCCACCAGAGAACACTTCAGAAACTTTTGACAGTTTTAATATCTTTGTCAGCTTAACAATTTAACACATTTTTCATTTTCTGTTCAATTCAAAAACACTGCATAAATTTTGAATTTATTTTTTGAAAAAGACATTTTTTTATTTTTATTTGCCAGTGGCCTAAAAGAGTGCATTAAGTTTTGACTGTTTATCGCTCTAGCAATTTTTTTTTTCGATGACCTTCCGTGCTCTAGCAGATGAGGCTCTGTGGCGCAATGGATAGCACATTGGACTTTTAGTGTATTGAAGGCATTCAAAGGTTGTGGGTTCGAGTCCCACCAGAGTCGTGTTTTGCTAACAAAGCAGACAAACCTTTGTAAGAAATACTGCTTTAAGACTACAACATGAAAAACAATCTTAACAAATCTCTAACATAGGTGATTAACTAGATGCATTCAGAAGGGATCTTAGAATAAGAAGTTAAGAAAGTTGAATAAATATTACCAACAATTAAGTTTAAATTAATAATGTTGGAAACCTGAGCTTAATGTATCACAGTATACTTTGATTCTCTATTTATAGTAAAGGACTCAAAGAGCTGTTCCACTTAAACCATGGAAGTCAGCTCATATCGTTAGGTGCAAATCAGAAACATCTTGCCCAATTTCAAGAAACTTTTTATTAGTTAAGAAAAAAAAAGTACAGAGATTTCTTCCAAGGACCACTTAACATGTCTGTATGGCCTTCTTTTGTCACTATTGGCAGTAAGTTGTACCAGGAAAAGGAAAGGGATGAAAATGTTGTTCTTTATATTGTTAAATGGAAATCTCAACATTTAAAAAGAAGTCAAAATTTCTGATTCGTCCACCAAAGAACACTTCAGAAACTTTTGACAGTTTTAATATCTTTGTCAGCTTAACAATTTAACACATTTTTCATTTTCTGATCAATTCAAAAACACTGCATAACCTTTGAATTTTTTTTTTGAAAAAGACATCTTTTTTTATTTTTATTTGCCAGTGGCCTAAAAGAGTGCATTAAGTTTTGACTGTTTATCGCTCTAGCAATTTTTTTTCGATGACCTTCCATGCTCTAGCAGATGAGGCTCTGTGGCGCAATGGATAGCGCATTGGACTTCTAGTGTATTGAAGGCATTCAAAGGTTGTGGGTTCGAGTCCCACCAGAGTCGTGTTTTGCTAACAAAGCAGACAAACCTTTGTAAGAAATACTGTTTTAAGACTACAACATGAAAAACAATCTTAACAAATCTCTAACATAGGTGATTAACTAGATGCATTCAGAAGGGATCTTAGAATAAGAATTTAAGAAAGTTGAATAAATATTACCAACAATTAAGTTTAAATGAATAATGCTGGAAACCTGACCTTAATGTATCACAGTATACTTTGATTCTCTATTTATAGTAAAGGACTCAAAGAGCTGTTCCATTTAAACCATGGAAGTCAGCTCATATCGTTAGGTGCAAATCAGATACATCTTGCCCAATTTCAAGAAACTTTTTATTAGTTAAGAAAAAAAAAGTACAGAGCTTTCTACCAAGGACCACTTAACATGTCTGTATGGCCTTCTTTTGTCACTATTGACAGTAAGTTGTACCAGGAAAAGGAAAGGGATGAAAATGTTGTTCTTTATATTGTTAAATGGAAATCTCAACATATAAAAAGAAGTCTAAATTTCTGATTCGTCCACCAAAGAACACTTCAGAAACTTTTGACAGTTTTAATATCTTTGTCAGCTTAACAATTTAACACATTTTTCATTTTCTGATCAATTCAAAAACACTGCATAACCTTTGAATTTTTTTTTTGAAAAATACATCTTTTTTTATTTTTATTTGCCAGTGGCCTAAAAGAGTGCATTAAGTTTTGACTGTTTATCGCTCTAGCAATTTTTTTTATCGATGACTTTCCGTGTTCTAGCGGATGAGGCTCTGTGGCGCAATGGATAGCGCATTGGACTTCTAGTGTATTGAAGGCATTCAAAGGTTGTGGGTTCGAGTCCCACCAGAGTCGTGTTTTGCTAACAAAGCAGACAAACCTTTCTAAGAAATACTGCTTTAAGACTACAACATGAAAAACAATCTTAACAAATCTCTAACATAGGTGATTAACTAGATGCATTCAGAAGGGATCTTAGAATAAGAAGTTAAGAAAGTTGAATAAATATTACCAACAATTAAGTTTAAATTAATAATGCTGGAAACCTGAGCTTAATGTATCACAGTATACTTTGATTCTCTATTTATAGTAAAGGACTCAAAGAGCTGTTCCACTTAAACCATGGAAGTCAGCTCATATCGTTAGGTGCAAATCAGAAACATCTTGCCCAATTTCAAGAAACTTTTTATTAGTTAAGAAAAAAAAAGTACAGAGCTTTCTACCAAGGACCACTTAACATGTCTGTATGGCCTTCTTTTGTCACTATTGGCAGTAAGTTGTACCAGGAAAAGGAAAGGGATGAAAATGTTGTTCTTTATATTGTTAAATGGAAATCTCAACATATAAAAAGAAGTCAAAATTTCTGATTCGTCCACCAAAGAACACTTCAGAAACTTTTGACAGTTTTAATATCTTTGTCAGCTTAACAATTTAACACATTTTTCATTTTCTGATCAATTCAAAAACACTGCATAAGCTTTGAATTTTTTTTTTGAAAAAGACATCTTTTTTTATTTTTATTTGCCAGTGGCCTAAAAGAGTGCATTAAGTTTTGACTGTTTATCGCTCTAGCAATTTTTTTCGATGACCTTCCGTGCTCTAGCAGATGAGGCTCTGTGGCGCAATGGATAGCGCATTGGCCTTCTAGTGTATTGAAGGCATTCAAAGGTTGTGGGTTCGAGTCCCACCAGAGTTGTGTTTTGCTAACAAAGCAGACAAACCTTTGTAAGAAATACTGCTTTAAGACTACAACATGAAAAACAATCTTAACAAATCTCTAACATAGGTGATTAACTAGATGCATTCAGAAGGGATTTTAGAATAAGAAGTTGAGAAATTTGAATAAATATTACCAACAATTAAGTTTAAATTAATAATGCTGGAAACCTGAGCTTAATGTATCACAGTATACTTTGATTCTCTATTTATAGTAAAGGACTCAAAGAGCTGTTCCACTTAAACCATGGAAGTCAGCTCATATCGTTAGGTGCAAATCAGAAACATCTTGCCAAATTTCAAGAAACTTTTTATTAGTTAAGAAAAAAAAAGTACAGAGCTTTCTACCAAGGACCACTTAACATGTCTGTATGGCCTTCTTTTGTCACTATTGGCAGTAAGTTGTACCAGGAAAAGGAAAGGGATGAAAATGTTGTTCTTTATATTGTTAAATGGAAATCTCAACATATAAAAAGAAGTCAAAATTTCTGATTCGTCCACCAAAGAACACTTCAGAAACTTTTGACAGTTTTAATATCTTTGTCAGCTTAACAATTTAACACATTTTTCATTTTGATCAATTCAAAAACACTGCATAACCTTTGAATTTTTTTTTTAAAAAGACATCTTTTTTTATTTTTATTTGCCAGTGGCCTAAAAGAGTGCATTAAGTTTTGACTGTTTATCGCTCTAGCAATTTTTTTTTTCGATGACCTTCCATGCTCTAGCAGATGAGGCTCTGTGGCGCAATGGATAGCGCATTGGACTTCTAGTGTATTGAAGGCATTCAAAGGTTGTGGGTTCGAGTCCCACCAGAGTCGTGTTTTGCTAACAAAGCAGACAAACCTTTGTAAGAAATACTGCTTTAAGACTACAACATGAAAAACAATCTTAACAAATCTCTAACATAGGTGATTAACTAGATGCATTCAGAAGGGATCTTAGAATAAGAAGTTAAGAAAGTTGAATAAATATTACCAACAATTAAGTTTAAATTAATAATGCTGGAAACCTGAGCTTAATGTATCACAGTATACTTTGATTCTCTATTTATAGTAAAGGACTCAAAGAGCTGTTCCACTTAAACCATGGAAGTCAGCTCATATCGTTAGGTGCAAATCAGAAACATCTTGCCAAATTTCAAGAAACTTTTTATTAGTTAAGAAAAAAAAAGTACAGAGCTTTCTACCAAGGACCACTTAACATGTCTGTATGGCCTTCTTTTGTCACTATTGGCAGTAAATTGTGCCAGGAAAAGGAAAGGGATGAAAATGTTGTTCTTTATATTGTTAAATGGAAATCTCAACATATAAAAAGAAGTCAAAATTTCTGATTCGTCCACCAAAGAACAATTCAGAAACTTTTGACAGTTTTAATATCTTTGTCAGCTTAACAATTTAACACATTTTTCATTTTGATCAATTCAAAAACACTGCATAACCTTTGAATTTTTTTTTTTAAAAAGACATCTTTTTTTATTTTTATTTGCCAGTGGCCTAAAAGAGTGCATTAAGTTTTGACTGTTTATCGCTCTAGCAATTTTTTTTTTTCGATGACCTTCCGTGCTCTAGCAGATGAGGCTCTGTGGCGCAATGGATAGCGCATTGGACTTCTAGTGTATTGAAGGCATTCAAAGGTTGTGGGTTCGAGTCCCACCAGAGTCATGTTTTGCTAACAAAGCAGACAAACCTTTGTAAGAAATACTGCTTTAAGACTACAACATGAAAAACAATCTTAACAAATCTCTAACATAGGTGATTAACTATATGCATTCAGAAGGGATCTTAGAATAAGAAGTTAAGAAATTTGAATAAATATTACCAACAATTAAGTTTAAATTAATAATGCTGGAAACCTGAGCTTAATGTATCACAGTATACTTTGATTCTCTATTTATAGTAAAGGACTCAAAGAGCTGTTCCACTTAAACCATGGAAGTCAGTTCATATCGTTAGGTGCAAATCAGAAACATCTTGCCCAATTTCAAGAAACTTTTTATTAGTTAAGAAAAAAAAAGTACAAAGCTTTCTACCAAGGACCACTTAACATGTCTGTATGGCCTTCTTTTGTCACTATTGGCAGTAAGTTGTACCAGGAAAAGGAAAGGGATGAAAATGTTGTTCTTTATATTGTTAAATGGAAATCTCAACATATAAAAAGAAGTCAAAATTTCTGATTCGTCCACCAAAGAACACTTCAGAAACTTTTGACAGTTTTAATATCTTTGTCAGCTTAAATATTTAACACATTTTTCATTTTCTGATCAATTCAAAAACACTGCATAAGCTTTGAATTTTTTTTCGAAAAATACATCTTTTTTTATTTTTATTTGCCAGTGGCCTAAAAGAGTGCATTAAGTTTTGACTGTTTATCGCTGTAGCAATTTTTTTTCGATGACCTTCCGTGCTCTAGCAGATGAGGCTCTGTGGCGCAATGGATAGCGCATTGGACTTCTAGTGTATTGAAGGCATTCAAAGGTTGTGGGTTCGAGTCCCACCAGAGTCGTGTTTTGCTAACAAAGCAGACAAACCTTTGTAAGAAATACTGCTTTAAGAATACAACATGAAAAACAATCTTACCAAATCTCTAACATAGGTGATTAACTAGATGCATTCAGAAGGGATCTTAGAATAAGAAGTTAAGAAAGTTGAATAAATATTACCAACAATTAAGTTTAAATTAATAATGCTGGAAACCTGAGCTTAATGTATCACAGTATACTTTGATTCTCTATTTATAGTAAAGGACTCAAAGAGCTGTTCCACTTAAACCATGGAAGTCAGCTCATATCGTTAGGTGCAAATCAGAAACATCTTGCCCAATTTCAAGAAAATGTTTATTAGTTAAGAAAAAAAAAGTACAGAGCTTTCTACCAAGGACCACTTAACATGTCTGTATGGCCTTCTTTTGTCACTATTGGCAGTAAGTTGTACCAGGAAAAGGAAAGGGATGAAAATGTTGTTCTTTATATTGTTAAATGGAAATCTCAACATATAAAAAGAAGTCAAAATTTCTGATTCGTCCACCAAAGAACACTTCAGAAACTTTTGACAGTTTTAATATCTTTGTCAGCTTAACAATTTAACACATTTTTCATTTTCTGTTCAATTCAAAAACACTGCATAAATTTTGAATTTATTTTTTGAAAAATACATCTTTTTTTATTTTTATTTGCCAGTGGCCTAAAAGAGTGCATTAAGTTTTGACTGTTTATCGCTCTAGCAATTTTTTTTTTCGATGACCTTCCGTGCTCTAGCAGATGAGGCTCTGTGGCGCAATGGATAGCACATTGGACTTTTAGTGTATTGAAGGCATTCAAAGGTTGTGGGTTCGAGTCCCACCAGAGTCGTGTTTTGCTAACAAAGCAGACAAACCTTTGTAAGAAATACTGTTTTAAGACTACAACATGAAAAACAATCTTAACAAATATCTAACATAGGTGATTAACTAGATGCATTCAGAAGGGATCTTAGAATAAGAAGTTAAGAAAGTTGAATAAATATTACCAACAATTAAGTTTAAATTAATAATGCTGGAAACCTGAACTTAATGTATCACAGTATACTTTGATTCTCTATTTATAGTAAAGGACTCAAAGAGCTGTTCCACTTAAACCATGGAAGTCAGCTCATATCGTTAGGTGCAAATCAGAAACATCTTGCCCAATTTCAAGAAACTTTTTATTAGTTAAGAAAAAAAAGTACAGAGCTTTCTACCAAGGACCACTTAACATGTCTGTATGGCCTTCTTTTGTCACTATTGGCAGTAAGTTGTACCAGGAAAAGGAAAGGGATGAAAATGTTGTTCTTTATATTGTTAAATGGAAATCTCAACATATAAAAAGAAGTTAAAATTTCTGATTCGTCCACCAATAACACTTCAGAAACTTTTGACAGTTTTAATATCTTTGTCAGCTTAACAATTTAACACATTTTTCATTTTCTGATCAATTCAAAAACACTGCATAAGCTTTGAATTTTTTTTTGAAAAATACATCTTTTTTTATTTTTATTTGCCAGTGGCCTAAAAGAGTGCATTAAGTTTTGACTGTTTATCGCTCTAGCAAATTTTTTTCGATGACCTTCCGTGCTCTAGCAGGTGAGGCTCTGTGGCGCAATGGATAGCGCATTGGACTTATAGTGTATTGAAGGCATTCAAAGGTTGTGGGTTCGAGTCCCACCAGAGTCGTGTTTTGCTAACAAAGCAGACAAACCTTTGTAAGAAATACTGCTTTAAGACTACAACATGAAAAACAATCTTAACAAATCTCTAACATAGGTGATTAACTAGATGCATTCAGAAGGGATCTTAGAATAAGAAGTTAAGAAAGTTGAATAAATATTACCAACAATTAAGTTTAAATTAATAATGCTGGAAACCTGAGCTTAATGTATCACAGTATCACAGTAAAAAAAAAGTACAGAGCTTTCTACCAAGGACCACTTAACATGTCTGTATGGCCTTCTTTTGTCACTATTGGCAGTAAGTTGTACCAGGAAAAGGAAAGGGATGAAAATGTTGTTCTTTATATTGTTAAATGGAAATCTCAACATATAAAAAGAAGTCAAAATTTCTGATTCGTCCACCAAAGAACACTTCAGAAACTTTTGACAGTTTTAATATCTTTGTCAGCTTAAATATTTAACACATTTTTCATTTTCTGATCAATTCAAAAACACTGCATAAGCTTTGAATTTTTTTTCGAAAAATACATCTTTTTTTATTTTTATTTGCCAGTGGCCTAAAAGAGTGCATTAAGTTTTGACTGTTTATCGCTCTAGCAATTTTTTTTTTTCGATGACCTTCCGTACTCTAGCAGATGAGGCGCATTGGACTTCTAGTGTATTGAAGGCATTCAAAGGTTGTGGGTTCGAGTCCCACCAGAGTCGTGTTTTGCTAACAAAGCAGACAAACCTTTGTAAGAAATACTGCTTTAAGACTACAACATGAAAAACAATCTTAACAAATCTCTAACATAGGTGATTAACTAGATGCATTCAGAAGGGATCTTAGAATAAGAAGTTAAGAAAGTTGAAAAAATATTACCAACAATTAAGTTTAAATTAATAATGCTGGAAACCTGAGCTTAATGTATCACAGTATACTTTGATTCTCTATTTATAGTAAAGGACTCAAAGAGCTGTTCCACTTAAACCATGGAAGTCAGCTCATATCGTTAGGTGCAAATCAGAAACATCTTGCCCAATTTCAAGAAAATTTTTATTAGTTAAGAAAAA